AGAGTGTAGAGTCTGGCCAGACTGAAAGATTAATGCAATTAGTTATCTATTGGTCAGCTAGCTTATTCCTGAGGAGCAAGCTACAATCCTTGTATGCTAGAACAGAAAGATTAAAGCACCATGAACCACTATTCTTGGGGACAGCATACTCAAAACTATTTTTTTTTTATTAAGTCAATTAAACATTTTGATTTTCTAGATGTTCCTGATGCCAAGGTTGCAGTTCCACCTCAAAAACCAGCTGAAGGTAGGGTAACAATCCATACTTGTTCCATAGTGCTGTTTTATATCTGCACTGAAGCAGCAGGCCAGTGGGAACCTCAGAGAAAGTCTTAGACAGCTCTGTGATAAGATCTAGTTAGATCTTATCTAGAATACTCTATTTGTCTCTATACAAGTATGATATGAGCAAGGCTTGGCTTTGTTATGTTTGTTTTGCTGTGTGGAAGGTGAAAACTATACGCTGGTAGTGGTAGGAACAAAGCCTTTTCTCTTAAAAGAGTTTCCCCTTTCCATCTTGTTTTCCTGTCAGTCTCTTGTTCATTCCATCTTCCTTTTATTTCCATTTTCCTCTTCTGATCACTCTTTATTGTCACCTTTTCTTCTTTTCACCACAGAAATATCTTTTAAACAAGCTGTCTGAATTACTACCCTAAAAAAATAAAAATAAAAATAAAATACAAATATTCTTTTAAAGCCATATAATGGATTGCATGTTTATTGCAAATGGTCTCTCCCCAGGGCTCTGGTATTGGACATCAAACTACAAACATTATGTATATTTCTGTCAATAGTTTACTATGAACCTTAGAAGTTCAGTCATCTTGGTTTCATTTCCAGGATAATTTGGTAAATGCAGTGGCAGCAGGAAGGGAAAGATTTGATATTTAGATTAGTTACTATTGGCAAAGATAGGAGAGTGATGGCAGTAAAGAAAATAGAAGGGTCAGAGTTCAAATAATGGTAGACTGGGAATTCTCACTCAAAACATATTCTTCCAGCTACAGTAAACTCTCAGAATGAGCACCATGTTTGCTTTTATCCTGCAGCTGCAATAAAATCATCTTATCTATTTTCCAAATGCACTGGGATTTTTCTTCATTTACAAGAAAACATCATACTCACATTTTATTCTAAATATTTCATTTTTCCTACAAGCTGCCCCTATTCCTATTCTTCTCCCTCTTGTTCCACCACCAGAGGAGAAAAAGCCAGGTATGAATACTTAAAGTATTTGGATGTGTACATGTTTCATTATGACTGTTGGTTGGGTTTTTTTTTAATGTAAATTTTAAAATATATTGTTTTTAAGCAGAGAAAAAGGTTCCAGTAAAGAAAGTCTCCAAAAAGGTGGCTAAAAAAGGTCCTGAAGAAGTCTTGCCACCTAAAGGTAACTTCTTTCTTTTTAAAAAAATAAATTCTTTTAAAATAGTAAAATTACCTTGTGGAAACAAGGCAATTTGTTTTGAATTACCTTGAATCAATCAAATCTGTTTGATTTTTGTCTTTATATTAAAAACATACACATGTAAAATCCAAGCTGATTAGGACTGCTTAAAAAATAGTCACTTCTTTAAACTGTCTGTGAGGGTAAAATCATTTCACTAACTGTGAACATCCAATACACCTTGCAAATGCCAGGCTATGATATGAATAATTTTTTTTTTTTTTTAAGTTCCTGAGGTGCTACCAGAGAAGCCCAAAGAGATCAAAATAACATCCATGGCAAGGAGAGAAGAGATTCATGAAGAAAAGAAGGAAATATATGAAAAGCCCAAAGAAACTTATGAAGAATGGGAAGAAGATTACGGGGAAGACCATGACTATTATGTCAAGGAAGAAGGCTATGATGAAGGGGAAGAGGAATGGGAAGAAGATTATGAGAAAAGAGAAGTTACTTATGAAGAAAAACGAGTAATTCATGAAGAAGGTATTTTAATTATCATACCATTTTATTTCTTCTCTTTTCTCACACTATTATTAAGGCCCAAAAATTTTGAGCCAGGCACTATTTTTTGGATTTGTTTTTGTTTTGTTGCAATAACTTGAACCTTAATATGCTGCCAAGTTTTTACTGTCATTTGATGATAAGACAAGGACTCTATCATGGCGAGGTATAGATGCAGAAGGAAATTGATACACTGTAATTTGGTTGCCAATGGACTTTGCAGATTGGGACATCTTTAAAACCTAATACAAGTTAGTAGTTTGTAAGGATATGCGTCATTTTTAGTTGTTTTGGATATTCCTTCTATCATTTTCATGTATTCTAGATAAACTTGATTTAGATTAAATGTTTCACGTATTCATTGCTTGATGTTAATAGCTGTATTTTGCAATTCCTTGCATGCTTTAACTGTCTTGGGTAGTAGGAATATGTATGCCTCAAGGAACAGAATTTGGCTCTGATGAGAAACCATCAAACTTGGAAATAAGCAGAAAATTTTACTGCAACAATTGGTTCTCCAAAACTGTGTGTGTGTTTTTCAACTTCATAAACTTACAATGGTATAACTAATAACCTTTGTGTGTATCAAGCCTTTAGACAATGCATTTTTCTTCATTAAGTGATGTTGTTATTTTTAAAGTGGTTGAAGTTCCTAAGAAGCCTGTGCCTGAGCGAAAACCACCAGCAATTACAGCTGAAAGGAAGGAAAAGAAAGAAGTAACAGTTCGTAAAGGTATGACTTTCCTGCAAAACTAACAGGAACATGCACATTAAGATCTCTCATGCATCTCCTTCAAGCTGAACTGTGATGGTTATTCACATTTCCTTGAAAAGGAGAGACTGCTCCTAAACATAAAGATGCTGGGCAGCGACATGAGCAAGGCTCATGGCAACCCTTCCTCTTCTCCCACCTCATATTTTTGAGCAGAGAGAGAATAGTGGCAATGGTGGTTGAAGCAAACCAAGAATTGCTGGCAAAATCAAACTGAGCTTCAGTTATCTTTCCTTCTCACTGTGTATTAGCTTTGGGCATGGGTGGTGCTTTTGAGCCAGTGAACGCTGCACTTCTGAGAAGTGTCCTCCATTTAGATCACTGCATATCTCTCAGGGGAGGGTGGGCCTGATCACCTGTTTCACAGGTGCCTTTACCACCACTGTTCACCACCAGTGAACAATGTGCTGAGCAACACACAGGATGTACAAAGGTTGTAACACCCTAAACAAGAAAATAGTTAGTTCTACCTGGTTCGTGTTCAGAAAATAATTTGGAAGATGATTTCAACAATAATATATCTGAATCACTTACAGTTGTCAAGAAACCTGTCGATGAAAAAGTGGAGATAACCACTCAGAGGGTTGCAGCAGAAAAAGTCAAACAGGCTGAGGGTAACTACTGTTTAATTACCTTAATGTCATCTTAACATGAAAGCGGTGGCTATTGTTACTTAGCTAATCTGCATATGCTTTGTCTTCATTTAACATGGGTCTGATCAACTTTTCAGTCTTTGAAACATCTAATAAAATCTTCTGCTGAATTGTATAAAAGGAAGATGAAAAGCTTTTTAGGGGAAAATACTAAATACAGATGCTAACTACCAATGCTTTAAGAATGGAAGTGTGTGTAAAATTGCACTGGATGAAATGGTATTTTTCACTCTAAGCTGAAGATGTGAAATCTCCATCTTCCTCAGATTTCCATCTTGACCTGTCTATCAGGATGTCTTGGTTAATTGTTCGCTTATGAAATAAAAATGCATCCGTATTCTCTCACTAACCACCTCCTCTTGTTCAGCATTTCCCATTCTGCAGTAGCAGTCTGTTGGCTGCAGTTCAAAGTATGTCAGGATATGACCTGTGTACTAAGTGCCCTCCATTACCCGGCCCCTTTAGAAGGTAGCAATAAAAAGAAGCAAACACATTCCTTCTGTTGCTTTGCGTAGATCCAAGCAGCCTGACTTATCTACTGAGTTAGATTATGTTTGTTGTCTTTGTTGTTTTTTCAACATCATTGCTAGATAGCTGTAGACTTATTTTGATCTCTTTGCTAAATGTGTGACTGAGTAACAAAATTTTAATGCCAACAGTTACCAAGAAAGTTCTACCACCAAAACCTACACCAATGGTCATTGAGGAAAAGGTTATGAAAAAGGAAGGTACAGATCAGCATCTTTCAACTGTAGTTTACATTTTTTCCAGCACCCTGTGTGTTCATGTGCTTCTTGTGAATATGTGGGCCTGTGTGTACCTGGATGTATTGTACTAGTCATGCTGTGACTACTCTCAGTGTTTGAATAGTATGTGTACCATGCTTTTATCTTTCATAAAGTCTGTTTTTAACATGTTTGTGGCTAGTCTTTTGATTCTTGTCTAAACAACCTACAGGATACTGCAGTGTGATTTAGCTTTTTCTTCATGTAGTCTGCCTGCTGGCCTATGCTTACATAAACAGCGGCCCAATGCCCCAAAATTTCTTTGAAGAATCACCTTTGAAATTCTTCTGATATATTATTTCCAAAAGCCTGTGCATGCATTTATTTTAAATTTTCAGGTTAAAGGTGTCTGTATCTTTAGTCTTTAACAGATACTAAATATTATAATTGTATGCTTGCTTTGTGTTCAGTATTTTAGAATATGAATACTGACTGTCTAAATATGTCTAAGACTTAAATGTGCAATACAGATACAGATTTGATAAAAGCTCACATGCTGACTACCACTAATGTGGATCTAGAATATAGAATACTAAAACAAAATCCTATCTTTAAAGTACCGACAGTAGAAACATGGACTGTTTCAGAAGAAAAGATGTCGGTTTCTGTCCACAGAGAAGAAGAGTATTCATATGTCACAGGTATGTACAAAACCAAAAATCTGTGCACCCAAATCAAAACAATCTTTCAATCCTATTAGATTTTCTTTTCACCTATTTTTATGTATGGCAAGTTACATATTTAGACACATATTTGTCTTTCAACATGCATTGCTTCTTTTTGTTCATTGTGTTATGTAGCCTCAGTTTTCTTTAGATTAATAGATGTCAACATTTCAACTATTTTATCTTAACATTGTTTAAATGCTTTTCTTTGAAGAGCCAACAGAGCATGAGAAAACAGTTGAAGAAAGATTCTTTGAAGCTGTTTACCCAATTGAAGGTAGATTGATTAAGAATGAGAGGCTAATCAATATTTAAGATTTTTAAAACAATTTGAATCTGAGTTAATCAAAAGTCTCTGTGAGATTTGCACATGCTGTTGGTTTTCTGGATGAAATTTTTTTACATATTAGCATATGTGTTTCAGTGACCTTTGTGTACTGGACACACATAATATATTCTTGAAAGCTTTTCAGATTTACTATGGACACAGATATTTTCTATCTCCAAATTTAATATCTTTAAAATTCCTATTGTAGCACATAAGGAAGTCGAAGAGGAGGAGGAGGAAGAAGAAGAAGTCATTTCTACAGAAGTAGAGATCCCTCATGTTGAAGGTGAATAAAATCTTTGTATCATCATGTGCTCCATTTTTCTGAACTTTCACATTATCTGCCTGTACCAGTCTTTATCAAAGGATAGCATACCAGAACTGAGATCTTTTCATCTCTCTATGGCTCTGCTCTCCAAAGTTCAAGCCCTATCGCATTTCCAAATCTAATTCTTCTTCGTCAGTGCTTTAAATAATTCTTTAAATAGCTTTTTTTGAGATAAGCATATTGTATCTGTTTGATAAAACAGCATACTTTTTGACATACAGCATTTGCTTATCCAGCGTGTTGAAAATAGCCTACTGTGATTTACCAAATATTTTTACTGTCTCCTAAGTGTTTACCACCTATCTCTTTAAAGTGCCTGAAATACCAAAGAAGCATGTTCCAGAAGAAAGAAAGCCCATTCCTGTTCCTAAAAAAGAAGCTCCACCAGCTAAAGGTATTTCTACTGCCCTATTAAAAAAAAAAAAAAACAAACCAAAACAAAAACAAAACAAAAAAACCCCAAACCCCAAACCAAAGAATTGTCTTTCATTATATTGTTTTTCATGTTTTCTTGAATATACTTATGAATTTACTCTCTGTGTGGCTTTGGTTTTGCATTATCTCCATATGCATTATTTGATTTTGCAATATCTCCATTATCTCCGTACTTTCACTTTTTCATTTGTGCTATAACTTAGCTTACAGCTTGCATTTGTCTCAGCTTTGGCCCTTCTCTTTCCTACTAGTCTTGTGCTTGTTGTTTGTATTTAGGTTGTGTGGCTTTTGCAGACAAGAGTAGGCTGTTTTTACTTCAATAGAGTGCCATGAAAGGTGATAGTGCAGAAATGTTAACATTGGAATTTTGTACTGTATCATAGTGCCTTGCCCATGTAGTCTACTGTATGTCCAAAAGGCTGTACATTGTATTGTGTTGAAGTGCTCAGCAACTTGTCCAGACACTATGTTCTATAGAGCAATTTTGGATTACTGAAATCTGGGTAAGTGGTCCAAACACTAAAGCTCTCTCATCTTGACAATGTTTTTCCAAAGTGCCTGAAGTGCCTAAGAAACCTGTTCCAGAAAAGAAAGTTGCTGTTGCTAAAAAGGAGGTGGCTCCCCCAGCAAAAGGTACAGCATCTTTTCAATGTGGTCTTTAGCCAGTCCTGTACTATTGTGCTATTTTCCTAACTACTACTCACTTAATATAAGCATATGATATAGTCTTTGTGTGTTACGTTGTATGCTTGTCCTCATCTAAGACAAACTCAAAAGACTTAGAAAGATTACTTAAACAAATTTCAATACCTTTAAAGTACCTGAAGTGCCTAAAAAACCTGTGTCTGAAGAAGAAGTACACATTCCTGTTCCCAAAGAAGAACCTCTACGTGCCAAAGGTATACTTAGTGATGGAGTGTATGTGTACCTGTTGAATATTTTTTTTTTTTTTTTGTTAGCCTGTACATAAACATGTTTGTGTTAGAAACTGATATTTATGGATAAGTCTCTGTGCATATATAAAAGTTTTTAGGGCCAGGTAACATACCTGAGCAGCTCTTTCTTCAGTTAAGAAATCAGTCTTAAAGCACTTGATAAGCTTCCAGAGGCTGGTTTGATTTTTTTTTTTTCCCCCAAAAACATTGCTCTTGCCTCATATGTCTGTATGTTAAGTGTATGAATGTGTTATGCAATGTGTCTTGATAGTCTTATAAATGAATTAATGAAATTCTGTAATACGCCAATAAATCTTTGAAATATAGAATTAAGTTATCTTACATTTTATCCTTTTTAAGTGCCAGAGGTGCCTAAGACAGCTCCCCCAGAGAAAAAAATCGCTGTTCCAAAAAGAGAGGAAGCTCCACCACCTCAAGGTACACTTAAATAAATAGCATTCTTTTCTTGTTTTCTTAAGCATCTTGGTCCAATTTTGGTTTTGATTATTAAATGAATCTGGTTTTAGTTGTACTTCAGTTACATTAGCTATGTGTCTTTTGTGTCAGTTTTGTAGATAACTGTGATATAGATGCAGTCTTAAAACACCTGTAATTTTAGTTACTTAATATTATTACAATTCATATCTCTGAAGTGCCAGAAGTACCTAGGAAACCAGCTCCAGAAGAAAGAATACCACATGTTCCTAAAGTAGAAGCTCCACCTGCAAAAGGTACAATATTGTTCTCTGTAATATCATTTATTGTAGTCTTTAGAACATTGCATTTGTCTCAGCTCGCTCAGCTGTTGTGTTTTGTAAGCAAAATATGTCCG